ATCATATCGATTGATGAAAACGCGTTTGCCTTAAAATTGTAAATTGCATTGGACTTTATAGAGGGGTTTAAATTAACCATTCTTGTTCTCATCTATTTTCTTTTCTTTTCTTCAAAATGTTTTTTTTTTTCATAACATATAAATTATTGATATTAATTTACAAATGAATAATTCATTCAGTGTGTTTCTCAAGAAAGTTAATAATTAATAATTCATTCAGTATGCTTCTCAGGAAATTAATCACAGCAAAACAAAACCAAACTTCAAATTAAAATTTGTATGATTAGAAAAAAAAAATCATTGTTAATTACATTATGAACTGTTGATTTACTTGATTGAATTATAAACTATTGATTTGTTAGGATAGAAATAGTTCTATTAGTTTTATATTTATTTGGTTAGAAAAAAGAAAAAACAATTATCAAATATTGATTATGTTTAAGTGATTGGATTCCACAAATCTAGGAAAATATTAGTTATCATAATTGTTCATTTGCACAAACATTTGATTATTTTTCTAATTAAATCACTCTCTTCTAATTATTCAATTTAATTACCAACAACATGGCTGTTTTTTTCTCCCTTTTTCCTTAAAAATGCTTCTATATGTAAATATTTATATGAAACAAAAAAAAAAGAAAAGAAAAAAGTACGGAATTGAAAGAAAGCTAAACAACATTTTTTTTAAACAAAATTGAACAAAGTATTTTTGCCCACCTTTTGTTTATTTTCTTTTCTTGAAAATCAAATATTAAATTTTTCTTTTCACAATACTATACTGTAGTAAATGTATGGAGCGATAAAAAAATCAAAGTATTTTTGCCCTATTTTTGTTTTTCTTTCTCTTTTGGAACCAAAAATCAAATAGTTTGCCATTTCGTACTTTGATGCGTGCATTTTAAATATTTCATTCACAAACTAACAAGAAAATGATTTGAGCATTATTTGTTAAGAAGTTTTACAAATGACAGTTTCTGTGTGACATTTACTCTTTCTCGCTACACTTTATTACCGTGATTGGCATAGGAAAAAAAACCTTTGGTTTAAATTTTTTGAAAGCGTTGCAAATTTTGGAGGAATCTTTTCATACTTTCAATTAGACTAAAAATCGGGAAAATTCCAGTGAATATTTTGACATTAAAATGCGCTAAAATTTGAATTTCCACAACTTTTAAAAGATTTCTTTTCTCCTCCCTCTCAAAAATATCAGTAGTTGAAGAAAATTGAAAAATTTCTTCATTCTGTTGGGATTAGCTATTTTAATGAGTGCTTTTACCAATATCATTGAAAAATCAAACCATTTATTGCTAACTTCAGCTTCTAAATATAATCTAAATCACAGATTTAAAAAAAAAAAACCTAATAATTTAAGAATCTGAAGGAAATCTGTCTGTTCATTTTAAATTCACTATTTGGAATCATTTATATAATCGATGGATTATCATATATATTTGCATAATTTGTATAATTATTTGGAAATCATTTGTATAATCAAATAACACTTCACTGAACAACCGAATTTTAAATTATCCAATACTTTGCAATCTGTTGACGCTTCTTATATCTTATTTGTCAACTCACTACCTAAGAGCTGAAATTTAGAAATTCGTTGGAAATTTTTGCAATGCGCTTTTTTTCTTCAATGCTGACCAGAAAATATATTTGCACGAGCACTAAACAAAGAAGTTGCATCGGATGAATAAAACCTGCTATTGATTATTTCTTAGTAATATCGAAAAAAAAAGCAGACAATACCTGAAGCATCAATTTAAATATTTAGAAGCAAATGAATTCACAAATCCAGAGCACAGAAAAAAAAGAAAACTAGAGAATTGAAATTTGAAAAAACCGAATCCTAACAACAATTATAATTGTTTCCAAAATTCAAAAAAAAAAATGTTTGAAAATTCTCCCGAGGGTCAATAATTGAAATTTAATTCAATAATACCCGAAATTTTTTATAAGTTGAATTATGCTACATATCTCTTAGACATAATCTCAATATTGAAGCATGTGCGCAATACTGAAAGCATAACACTTTTAGTCGGGATGATAAAAGGAATACAGCTTTTACTTCTACTAAATATTTGATCTGTTTAACAGAAAAATGATGAATTGGCCCTAAATTATATAGCATCTTTTCAGTTTCTTCTTTTGATCGACGATTTTGAATACTTACTGTTATGTTACCTTCTCTTTTTTTAAGCTGATAAAATAAACACGGTTGAAATCTAAATAAAATACATCTGACTTTCAATAAATAAGAATACAATTGGATGAAAATGATTCATATGATACTTTTTCAGTATATTTCAAAAATGCAAAAAATATTTGGTTCTGAAAGCTACACATTTACTCATAAATACGTTGACAAAAGAAAAATTACATGTATATAAACAATAACAAAGCAAAATTTTACAGATAAAAACAGCATATGTACTGAGTGATTACACTAAACATCACAATGATAATAAATTATTGTATATCACTTATCGTTATTACTTTTTTTTTTTGCTATCTCTATATCACTACATCACTTACTGTTATTATTATTGCTTATCTTCTAATTTGAAAAAATTTCTTATAAAACTATTATCTTGGCAATGAAGTGATTTATTTATTTCTCTGCTCTCTGTGCATTTATTATAAATTTAAAGATTAAATTTAGGATAAAAAGAGAATAATTGTTCACTTAAACATTCACAAAGCACTATCTGATATATCTGGGATAGCAGAAAACTGTTCATTCAACAACTGCTCTAATATATAACAATTGCTCATTCAATATAGGATACCCGCTCAAAGCATTTCAAAATAACTAACATTATGAACATGAGCATACTCAACGTATGCTATCATCGAAAATCTCTGAAAAAACAAAAAACCCTGTTTTTTATAATACAAAACAAATCTCGTATTATAAGGATATGAATAAAAGAAAAAAGAAAAATAAATTAAAAAAAGAAAACATTCGACTAGCTAAAAATTTGATTTGCAAATACAACACGAGAAAAAATTTAGAAATGTCAATGGAAAATGCTGTAAAATCACAACTCATTCTCATATTACTACAACAAAATAATAAAATCGGCCCAAGAGAAAGACAAAATGATCCAGCATGAGATGTTCATCATGTCAATAAAAATATTCACCTAAGAAACACAATCTTCTTACTTTAGCAAATAGCGAGACTCAATACGCAGTAATAGATATGTATCCGGGAAGTTTCATCAATATATCAATATAGCATTATGTGTGCTATATGTATATATATATCAAAGATAGTAAATGATGATTCTATAACGGTATTTGCTAATAAAATTAGCTTAATGATCTCATCAGCGTTACTTGATATTTTTTTTTTGTATTGCCGATGTTTCTCTATCAAATAAAGAGGTAAATTATGTACAGAAGTGTAGAGTACATTGTAGTTATAGAAAAATTCTTATAATTTAAACATTTCCATTTCAATCAACGCAAGCAAGGTCAGGTAATCGAAACTGTGCTAAACTGTTGATTAAGTTTGCCGACATCATGTTGTGCTTCCAATAAATCTTCAGTTTCACCATCCGTTCTCGCCTCCGAAAGATCATTTGTCCTGAAAGATAACTACGCATTTTGTCAATTACGAATGCCAGCAAAATTTCCATTATGCATTCAGCATTAGGCTTTTTTTTTGGAGAATTATTGCGTTCCTCAACATTTTCTGTTCCTGTTTTTTGGAACAGTTGCTCATTTGAAAGACTTCTAATTTCATGATTTCGTACTAAAATCTTCTTTTCCTACGAATTCTTCATAATTTTTATAAAGAAACTAACGATTCGAGTCCTTCTGGAAGTACGCCCAATCTGAAAAGATATGCTTTCTTTAATTTAAATTTCGTAAAGTTTCAAGTTAAAAAAAGTCCCAAATCACTTTAGTCCCTTAAAATTCTAATGGCAATCAATTCTTTACGCTTCTTTACCACCAAGCAGATGCATATATTCTTTTGCCTTTGATCCTAACATGACAGGATTAAATAGTTGGTACAAACATAAAATTATCACAATCTCTGCATTACCATAAGCAATTATCACAATCTCTGCATTACCATTCAATAAAGCAATCATTTCAAAAAACTGAATATAAAAGCTTACGAGCTGTGCCGCGAATGCTGACTAAAACGAGAATGGTGCAGATTTTCCGCTGGCAATTCGGTTACGTTAGTAATCAAAAAGTTCATTATATCAGATAAAGAAATCAAGCCCTGTAACGAAGATGAACTACTAATTAAATACTTTGAGAAAATGAGAACTTATAAGCTGCAAACGCATACAATCACATAGTAAAGTACTGAATGAAACCATGTCTGTAAGATATGACAATGCCTAAGGCTCAAGATATATGAAACTAAAATCATTTCTACTCATCAAAGAATTATCATCCTTCAAATCTATTTTCGACGATTAAATTGATAACAGTGAACTATTTCAGAACTTTATGGACCTTACACGTAACGCAAAATGCTCAAGACAAGAAACTTAAAAATTACCTCAATTGCGCCACCAGCTTTTAAAACACAAAGTCGGTGAACATTTCTTTCAACAAGCACCGTAATCGCTGTCCAGAATGAATCTTCTACTGATATTGAAACGACACGATCTTTTTCAAGCTAAAAAAAAATCTACAAAAGTTTTAAAATTGGCAGACCTCGGAATTATTGCAAAAGATGGATTTTGAATGATCCTTTCGCGTTCATGATCTATGGAGTGAGAATTTAAATTTCAGTTTTCAAGGAAACTAAAGAAATTTTTATCGAGGCTATGAAGACTATTGTTATTTATAGAAACTATTAATATACTTCTACATAATATCACACACAAAGAAATGAACTGAACCCTGAAAGTATTCCGGAATGCTAGTGCTTCTTGTACAGTGACATCAAGTTCATCAATTTTATCCTCTACCGCCACACCAATTGCATCGAATCGTGAATACATATCTACAACTCGGAATGTATCACGCTCCACAACTGGAACGCCACTGACACCCTTATTTAGTAGTATATCAAGACATAAAATTAAGGATGTATCCGGATAGACCTGAAATATGATAAATGCTGTGAGTAAAATTAGTGGTGATTCACAATTTTGCGATTTTTTTCTATCAAATTCGGCGTCAATCACTTATTAACAAAATAGGCAACATATCGTCTGTCATTTAGCAGAAAATGCTATTTTCAGATGTTGGAAATATTTTCTAGGCCAGTAAATTCTTTCGTCATCAGTTTTATTATTACTCATAAATTTTTTATTAACAAAGATATCTTAAAGCATTTTTATACATTTATCATCCATTGATCTTTTTTTATCACCAAAACTTTAACTTGTTAAATAAAAAAAAAAATCCTAAGCAACCTACTGATCCTAGGAAACGTGTTTCATAAAATCTGGAAATTATTTAAAATACATACCACACGTATGCCATCATACGTACCAACACCGAGTTCTTTACAAGTTTTATTATGATAACCGGGAACATAAAGTGACTGACCCTTGAAAAAAGGAAATATGACAGTAAAGGATGATTAGCAATGATTAAAAACAAATGACTCTAGCCAAGTCATGTGCCATTTTCCGCAAACAAAATAGGATGGATATTGCAAGAACTATTTACCTGTCATGCGAAACACGTCTCTCAGTGACTCTACGTTGACTAAAGTTTTCTAGCCTTCTAAAAATAGTTCACTCAGATCTATGGCCTTAAACTTAGCCTCCTTCTACATTCAGCGTAACTGAATCTAGACAAGAGAGATAAGAATGTGTAAAAAAATATAGGTGTTAAAAAGTAACAAAAATTACGTAGTAAAAAATAACTTACGAAAAGCCATAAAAATTTGAGAATCCGCCTGTGGGTCAAAATAAACAATGGACTTCCATCATTCGGATCCAACACTGGCAAACGATGTATATGTTGTTTGCTGAGTAAAAAAACCGCTTTCAGTAAACTAAAATTAACAAACAGTGAAGTAATGCGATATAATAACGCACTAGAAATATTAAATTACAAAGAACAGGGAAATAAAGAACTGTTTTTAAACAGACTAGATAAGACATCTTCCTAAAGAAGGCTCAATAAAATAGATATTCTACATTTAACCTCTAAGGAAGAAATAACTTAAGAAATTAACTGTCTTAAATGGTAATGATGATAAGTAGATATACCTTTCTTCTGCAGTTATTGATACAAGATCCATTAATTTTCCCTCACGGCATACCAAATCTGAAAAATAAGATTTCTTCAGGAATGTAAATTGCACTTTTAAGAAGTGAGAATTACATAATTTCCAAGAAATACAAAAATGAAAACAAACATTTATCAAACATCCATGATACTTGTTTGTATTTTAGCAGTGGCTATTTATTCTCAAGAATGTAAATTACACTTTTATATGAAAAGACCAATTAAAAAAAAATTAGAAATCAAACAAAAACCTCGATATTCAGAGATAGTAAGAGTTCCGATATCCTCGTACGGTGCACTCATTATAGCATCCCCTACCCCTTTTACTTTATTTCCATCCTGACATTCATCATCCGAAATGTTAATTTGTTGCTTCTCCAGATTAGATATTTCCAAATGCTTTAGATCATTATTTAATTCTATATTGATATTTCTATCTACATTTGTCTTACTCATCGGAGAAGTTTTCTCCTCTTCGCACACAGTTCCTCTTTGCTCCCTTTCTTTTTTCATTCTGAAATGAAGCAGAATAAAAAAGAACAAAACAAACATTTGGAAAAATATATCTCTGAACTTGATTGAATCACATTTCTATAATTGAATCGTTTTTACTCGGGTTTGTCTTTAGAAATAAGACTCCAAAACACAGCAAATCAATTAATTTGATTTCAAACAATAACAACCAAAAGCTTTATTCTAAAATAGAGTTATTGTTATTTATCGCGATACCTTGAGGCTAACGGAATTGAACAATATTTCAAACATCAAAAAAAGACTAACTTGTGTAATAATAAAAGGACTCGGATAAAATCTGTTACAGACAATATGCCAACAATTGCATTATTCTTAGCTGAATCAGAGAGCAATACATGCCGTGTATCTGTAAGTAAAATATCTACAATATTGCATCATCAATTTACTCACAATGAAAGGTAAATTGACTAACTTGCAGTCTAAATTAACAAGAAGTGGAGTAGAATGCTTCAGAAATAAGGTATATATCAATTATTTTACTATTGCAAGAAACAGCGATACGCTTCTTCGTTAGAAATCAAGAGAAAAATGTTCATTTATTTTGAACAGCCTAAGAAAAAGCAATTTAATCTTTGAAGAGCAAATATGTCCTTTTCCAGGGAAACCCGAAAACAAAAAATCAAAGAGCGATTTAGATAAATTTTGATATCCAAGGAACTAACCATCCAGATTTGAGAGGATTCGGTATACATAATTCTTCTCGTAAGAATTACATAAAAATTAATACAATAAGAACGCTCTGTTATAGTGAAGATTAAATTTAATAAATTTAAGCAAAAAGAAACTAAACGCATGAGTGGAATATTTTGAATTTTCATATCAGCATTAATTTGAAACCTACTCTGATAAATAAGTCCATTAAATGCTTTCTTGAGCTGTAACTTCGTATCAAAAACAACCATTTTTGAGCTGGTTGGCATTGCTTCATAGCATGCATTAAACTGCATCAGGTGAACATAATTCAAGTTCGAATCCGGATCAGTCTTCATATTTAAATTGTGTTGCGAATTACCAACCATCGATAAAGCGCTAGTATCTCGACGTGTTGCACCAAATCTAAAAAATAATCTCACGTGATTAAAAAAATTTCAAGTTTGAAACTTATTAAATCTAATTCTTTAGGAACTACCAAAATTAAAGTTCAGATTTCAATTTCTATATGTAAATCAGTTTAAAAATGTCTTAGTCCGATAACAGTAAAAGATAAGATATTAAAAAGTTCAAACTTTCCATCATGAACATAAAAAGAATAAAGAGTTAGAAATAAAAAAAAAACGATTTATTATATACTACAAACATCCATTTTTTACTTACAGAAACCACATACAAATAAAATAATGGTTTTCAACCTATATTTCATAATTCTACTTTTCTCTTAATTCAATTCATATTCATATCTAAAAATTCGTTACATTATCAGTGCTGCTATAATCAGAAATACAAAGGATTTGATTCTACTGAAGTTTACTTTATAGTACAACAATAATTTATATATGAGCAAACATGTCGTATGGTTAACGAAAATATTAGTGCTATATACTTTTTTTATTGATACAGAGGAATGGAAATAACCCAAAAATCGAATTCCTTAGAACTGAAAATGTTTAATTATCAGCAAAAAATTCATAGACTCATGCAGCAGTATATCGATGTGCGCTGCTTGCAAGCATAACAATCATCGAGTGATCATGAATTAAAACATTTGATGAAAAAAAACTTTGAAATTTTATCTACAATAATCAAACAAACTAGCCTGAAGAATTTGTTAGCAACCTGAAACTTTGTTATTGATTTTAATAACTTTGTTATTAAATAAACAACCGCTTAGGATATATCTAGTTTCTTGGTAAATATTTTCCAGATCTTCAATGCACAGCATTTTAGTCACCTGATACCAAGCAGAAGTGATTTATAAATCTTATTTAAAATTTGAAATTGATTGTTTTTCAACAACTGTAAAAATGAAAGTCCCTATGCATCATCATCCATATCTACGCATAGTGCAATTTATATAAAATCATATTGCGACTCGAATTTTGAAAAACAATCACTCATGAAGTACTTTATCTAAAGAGCCAAGTAAACAACTGTTTGCGAAATAAAAAAAATGGAATAACAAAGCTCCAAATCCAACACATAGCTAGACAATTGACAAATTTAACTCATATAACTATTGATTCAAGAAATTAGAAACTAGGAATGGAATGAAAAAATTTTAACTTCCTTAGAATTCAGCACAATGTACTCATATGCAAAATTGCCCAATAGAATTACAGTCTGTCATCTGTCAAAATACAATCACGTGCAAAATCCAGTTTTTAAAATACAATTACGAGAAATACAATTAAAACCTACACATTTGTATAATACTTTCAATATATTTAAAAGATCATACGATTGATGATTTAAAAATTTCTAACATATGGTTGCAAGTTAAATTGTGACTTAGTCAGCTGATAAACATATAGATTCATAAAATACTTCTGAAAATCACGTGATTGATGGCTCAAAGATTTTTGAACTCATGTTAATTTGTGGCTTAATCGATTGATAAACATTGATACAAACCATAAAATTAGGGTGATATTAAAATGTGATAACTTAGAATCACAAACGTTATTTTAACTACTTCTCACTGCTGCTCGAAGTAATCGATTGATAACAACTATAACAGCAATAATGCACATATTTGTAATCTTATATCTAAGATGTAAATCAATAAATATTTAATTAGATAAATTACGTTAAAAATTACGAATAGAAAAAGTATTATCAACAATATTTAAAGTTATTTTTATCAGCTACAATAGTAACAATATACAATCGAAATTCCATTTAATTGCACACAACACTGTCAAAAAAGCAAATTCCAGTTTAACAAGTTAAACGTTTGGATAAGGCAATTATGTGAATCTGACGTTAACGCAAGACGGCTAAGATACAATACTTCGGAACGTAGAAAAAAAAAAGAAATTAATCTAAAGTAATTACAATTTCCCTTAAAATACTTATCTGATTGATGACATATCGACTGAAATGGAAATACTTCCTTTTATACTTTTTTCATTTTTCAATTACTTTTAATTTCAAAATATTTATAGTTCATACAATCATAATGGTTTTACCCAACTAATAAGTGACGGTTGCGCTTTTAACAAAAAAACCATAATATAGTAATTGCTTTAGAAACAAACAAATTTTACGAAATACCTATACCGAAGTATTCATTAATTAAAGGATGGATCCTCGGAATTAAACAAACAAGAAATTTTAATTCATTTTCTATGACAAGACTGGTGCTCTACGATCATTTTGGATGACATTATGCATTCTATACATTTTGAATTTGATAGCTCTTGAAATTACTTAATTATTCTTCGTCAGTAAAATATTGCTCAGCCACTGGATATATATTTCCAAGCTTTGTATTGAATAACTAAATCATCCTAGGATATTAGTCCTCATGTGCCACCCATAAGTTACAGTGATGACGACATAGATAGTTATGACAAAATGAACATGCGATAATTTGATTCTACTTTCAAATCGTTATCTTCTACTGCGCCAGAATACACTCAAAATGCAGAAAAAAAGAGAAAAAAAATGTGGAATGAGGAATTCTTTTTCTCTCTCTGCTATAACCTTACCCAATCAAATGTTTTCTCGTTTAACATGCTATTCAATATTATTAACAGATCAGTAGGGGTATAATAATATGAAACGCTCAAAAACACATCATGAAACATGTTTTTGTGCAATGTGAAATCTTGTTTTTTCTAAATTTCACGATAAAAAATACGTTATTCCGCACTACATTAATAATACAATTGCAAATAAACCAATTATTTTGTCCTTTCCTAAAATCTATTTTCTTATATCTGTATATTCATATATGTTGAGTGGAAGAATTATGCTATTCATATGTTGTTATGCTAACCCGTAATAATCCAACAGTGATATTCATTCATGACTGAATGAAACGATCGCATACGAACTTTGGTTAAAATTCCCAAAAACCAACTATTAGCATAATTACGAACTCTTCGTTATTCACTCTCTTTTGCCGTTTCCTCCTTCTCATTCCTCTCTCTTTCCATAGGGAATCTCTATTCTGCAAAGCCAAAAAATTGAGTTATTATGTGCGTAGGCTCATTACCGCTCTATTTTTCTCTTTTACGTTCAACTAATTTTCCCCTAAAATTTCTTGATTTTTTTTTGAATGAATTCTAAAAAATCTTTATTTAATTCTAGGAGATCTTACAAAATCGAGAAAGATAACACAATAGCTATAGCGATTTTGTTGATACTTTATTTTTCGACTACATCACCGACTACCTATCCTCAAGTCAAATGAAAAAAATATATCATTGAGTAATACGAATATAATTTTTGAACATTGTGTAAATGATCTCTCTCTCTATTTTTTCTCCTCTCCATTCTTTTTTCTTCTTTTTCACCTATATACTGATCAAATTTTCAATTTAACAAGTATTTTATCTTGTTTTCGTAAATATCATTTATGGCTAAGCTTGTGAGAAACGGAGGAATAAGAAAAATGGAAAATTCATTTGCTATCTCATTTAATTTAACATTTTTGCAGAAAAAAATGAAGCATTATTTAAGATTCGTCCAGAAACTCCAAAGTGAATTTTTAAAAACAGAAAAAAACTGAATTTTTTTGAAAAAAAAGGAAAATTGGATGATAAAAGATGAAATACGAATCTAATCTTAATATATCCCGTTTAATATATTAATCTGTTTTTACTTTAACAGAATTTTCCCAAGCCTATATAATATAAACATTGTAATAAACGCAACATAACATCAAATTATGTGCAGGCTGAAAGGAAAAACGAGTTTACGAGACAATATTTAAAAAAATTTCATATTTAAAATATAAAAAGTAAGATAAGCGCACGCATTACCAGAAAAAAGGTCAAAAAACTATATGAATGACTATTTTTAGCATGAAAATCAGTTTTTTGTTCAATGTTAAGCTTACATACTAGATTTTCCAGACCGAACAATAAAATATTCGGAATTTCACAATCAAAACGGAATTAATGTTAACAAAAAAACAAACACTGAAATTACAGAACGATTACCTTACAGTATTTGAAGGTGTGTTCCGGTGTGATGAAGAATTCCGAAGCTGGATAACATTGACCCGCTCCGGTATTGACTTCGAAACAACGGAACTGAAAATGAATTTTACAGTTAAGTATTCGGCATCAAACATGTTAATAATAATTATAATTCTACACTGCAACGGTAATAATGGAATCAGTGGGTATACAAATTAATATAACTGAATTCATTTCGTCAGTACTAATAATGACTTCACAACGCACATGAAACATAAAATGTGTGATATGGAAGAATAAAACATTAACATTACAACATTATTTAAATGACAAAAAGATCATGCTAAGGCACAGTTCCTTGTTGATTAAGACAATGTTATTCTCAAAAGCATTATTATTACAATCTATCACTTGAAGCATTTTATGAAGAGATAAATTCAATAATTCTTAAAGAAATGTGCATTGGTTCTGATCTTTCAACGAATGACTTGAAAACAAAAAGATGAGTAATGTAAGTTGAAAAAACAAAAACGTCAATCGATCCTTGGAATAGAAACAAATCTATCAGAATATTTAACGCATCATTTCATCTATTTGGATAGAATTGCATATGTGTAATCATGTTAAGCATTAAAATCTTTCAAGGGAATTGCAATAAAAATATCAACCTTTCATCATCGTAAACATCTACATTTCTACAGCAAACATTACTTTTTCCATTTGAATTACATAGATTTGCTCCTTGACTTGCGACGGTACCTTTCATTATCACTGGTGTCTTTCCGAAAAGCACTCAATCTTCGTCGCAGCGAACGTCCCATTGCGTTCGTCCATGTTTTCGAACCTGATGCTGCATTTTTCGCGTCACTACCGTCTATCTCTTCATCATTTTTTTCGCCATCAAGTTCAATTTTTGTAAAACTAGCGCTCTTCCTGAAGCATAACCTTGCAAAAAAATATACTTTTAGTCCGATCTCACTCAAATTTATCTCGTCTCTTTTCCTTTCCTCTTTCATCTTTAACTTTTTCCCTTGAATCATTGTATTACTGCTAACTGAAACTGTTGCATGATGTTAACGCATTTCGAACATTGAAAATAAAAACTAAAGTGCAAATAAGCCACTCTGCTTACAACACTGAAATTCTAACTTCAGCTCCGAAAACGACTGTTATCGTAACTCAATTGATCTAATAAAGTAACTTTTTTCTCGCCTTACCAATTAATTATTAAAAATGATTTAACAATTAATGCTACTGATTCGTTGTTAGTTATTGCGGTACAGAAACTAAGAACTCAAAAAAAAAAAAAACTAAAATACACTCATCAAAGTATTAAAATAAGTTAGTCGTAGCTGTTAATGAAGTCACATCAGTTTCAAGCCTTAATCCTATTTCATTTTATTTAACGTTTAAAATCACCCAATATTACTGAACTTAATCAAGTGAAAGCTTATCGGAAAAGCAGTGACGATGGCAGCGATCAAACCGTTCATGTTAAGTGCCAAAGAAAAAGCTGTTAAATCATAAAAACCCTGATAACATTATCATCTGAAAGTTTACTAAATATACTGTTTTCTTAGCGAATGCAACAAAATGTACCCATTCAGGACTTCACTGATAATTATAACTTCACCAATCTCATTATTAGTAAAAGAAAAAAGATCACATATTACGAAAATTCTTTTCCTTTGGTATACAAAACTTTAGTTTTCTATAAATTTTCTGACAATATTTTGAAAACTTTGAACAAACTTCCGAAAAATTCGATGCTTCAATTGACCCACTGATGTACAACGATGCGGCATATTAATCAATTCTTATTGGCACTGAATTTTCGTGGACGTGCAAAAGTACCGCTCGAAATTCTGCAATATAAAAATAAAAAAGCTGATTGATTTATTAATTCTGCAATATTATTTCACGAATTCCAAAGACTAAATATCAAATGCAAAATATTAATGAAAATGATTTAATATTAATGCAGAATAGGCAAAAATATGATAAAGCAATATTTCGGATGAATTAAACCAACAGGAGAAAAAGTGGATAACCTAGTTTGTTGATAATTAATATCACTAGCCTTTCTTTCGATTTCATGGATGATGATAACAATCAATCATGAAATATCTTAATTATACGACATAACTGGAAAAATTTAACAGAGAGAGGGAGTGAGAGGAAAGGACACATGTATACAATAGTGTATTTATAGCAATGTTTGTATATATCTGTGTGGATAATTCAACGATCAAAATAAACTGAGTGAGAAAACAAATATAATTATGGATAAGTCATTTTTATCTCTTTCGTTTTTTTTTTCTTTTTATCATTTTAATTTAAAAACAAAAATTTCATTCTTTCTTTCCCTTCTCCATTCAAAATTTCTAATATTTTAATTGATTGAAAATAAGATAAAGAGAGGAAGAATATTTTCTTTTCCTCTTTCTGCCATCGATATTACAATAACGTATTATTGTTGAAACAGCTGCAAAAAGTATATCGATTGTATATGGATCATTTCAGGTCATCGTACCAGGAAAACAAAGACACCGAATATTCTTGTCAATTTTTTTTTCTCTCTTAACTTTTTCATAAATACTTTTTATCTCTCTTCTTTCCCATATTTTTCTTCTTTTTTTTTTGACTATTTTAGTTTTTATCGTTTTGCAATTCTTTTATGACAAAGATAACTAACCAGCTTGGAAAATATCAATGTTATATAATAAAATGGAACTGGGCAAACAATCTTCTTTCAATAAGGCTAACTGCATCATACGCTAACTTACTAGGATTGCCATAAAAGCTGGCCTAGGTTGATTGTAGCAGATCATAGAGACTTATGGATTGTTCAACATTGTTTCGTCTTTCACTGTCTATCCCTCTCTCTCCCTTTCTGTCTCTCTCTCCGTCTCTCCAAAATATTCTTAATCAACCATGTCTAACACGGGATGATAACTATAATATACGATCACAATATCATCAACAATCTTCAATGAATCCACAA